ATTTAAAATACGCGTAAGGTAAGATTAAACACGCCGTATGTTTGTTGAATAAACGTTACATTTCTTTTAGCTTTCGGGAACATATAAGCCAACGTCACTTAAAACACTCGTAAGGTAAGATTAAACACGTCGTATGTTTGTTGATTAACCACTACGTTTCATATAGCTTTGGGGAATACATAAGCCAACGTCACTCAAAATGCGCGTATGGAAAAACTAAACATGTTATATGTTTGTTGAATAAACGCTACCTTTCCTTTAGCTTTCGGGAACATATAAGCCAACGTCACTTACAAAACTCGTAAGGTAAGATTAAACACGTCGTATGTTTGTAGAATAAACGTTACATTTCCTTTAGCTTTCGGGAACATATAAGCTAACGTCACTTAAAAAACTCGTAAGGTAAGATTAAACACGTCGTATGTTTGTTGAATAAACGCAACGTTTCATGGAATTTTTAGGAATATATAAGCCAACGTCACTTAAAATGCAAGTAAGGAAAAAATAAACATGTCGTATGTTTGTTGACTAAACGCTATATTTCATATAGCTTTCGGGAACATATAAGCTAACTTCACTTAAAGTACGTATAAGGTAAGATTAAACACGTCGTATGTTTGTGGAATAAACGTTACATTTCATATAGCTTTCGGGAACATATAAGCTAACGTCACTTAAAAAGCTTGTAAGGTAAGATTAAACACGTCGTATGTTTGTTGAATAAACGCAACGTTTCATAGAGTTTTTGGAATATACAAGCCAACGTCACTTAAAATGCGCGTATGGAATGATTAAACATGTGATATGTTTGTGGAATAAACGTTACATTTCATATAGCTTTTGGGAGCATATAATCCAATGTCACTTAAAATACGCGTATGGAAAGATTAAACACGCCTTATTGTTGTTCAATAAACGCTATATTTCATATAGCTTTTGGGAATATATAAGCTAAAGGGGGGAGGTTCCCCCCCCCCCGTTCGCTTAAAGTGTGCGTAGAGAAAGATTAAACGCGTCGTATATTTGTTGAATAAACGCTACCTTTCATATAGTTTTTGTGAACATATAAGCTAAAGGGAAGAGATACCTCCCCGTTCACTTAAGATACCCGTAGGGAAAGATATAACACAGCGTATGTTTGCTGAAAAAAGACGCTACATATCATCCATAGCTTTTGGAAACATATCATTTAAAATATGCGCGTTGGGGAAGATTAAACAGGTCGTATTGTCACCGTATTGTTGTTGAATAAACGCTACCTTTTATATTGTTTTCCTGAAAATATAAGCTAAAGGGGGGTTGTTCTCCCTCCGTTCGCTTAAAGCGTGCGTAGAGAAAGATTAAACGCGCTCGTATTTGTTGAATAAACGCATCGTTTCATAGAGGTTTTGGAAACATATAAGCCACCGTCATTCAAAATACGCGTACAGAAAAATTAGACACGTCGTACGTTTGTTGAATAAACGTTACATTTCCTTTAGCTTTCGAGAACATATAAGCCAACGTCACTTAAAGTACGCGTAAGGTAAGATTAAACACGCCGTATGTTTGTTGATTAACCGCTATGTTTCATATAGCTTTGGGGAATATATAAGCCAACGTCACTCAAAATGCGCGTATGCAAAAACATGTTGTACGTTTGTTGAATAAACGTTACATTTCCTTTAGCTTTCGGAAACATATAAGCAAACGTCACTTACAAAACTCGTAAGGTAAGATTAAACACGTCGTATGTTTGTAGAATAAACGTTACATTTCCTTTAGCTTTCGGAAACATATAAGCAAACGTCACTTACAAAACTCGTAAGGTAAGATTAAACACGTCGTATGTTTGTTGAATAAACGCTACGTTTCATGGAGTTTTTAGGAATATATAAGCCAACGTCACTTAAAATGCACGTAAGGAAAAACTAAACATGTCGTATGTTTGTTGACCAAACGCTATATTTCATATAGCTTTCGGGAACATATAAGCTAACTTCACTTAAAGTACGTGTAAGGTAAGATTAAACACGTCGTATGTTTGTGGAATAAACGTTACATTTCATATTGCTTTCGGGAACGTATAAGCTAACGTCACTTAAAAAAACTTGTAAGGTAAGATTAAACACGTCGTATGCTTGTTGAATAAACGCAACGTTTCATAGAGTTTTTTGGAATATATAAGACAACGTCACTTAAAATACGCGTATGGAAAGATTAAACACGCCTTATTGTTGTTGAATAAACGCTATATTTCATATAGCTTTTGGGCATATATAAGCTAAAGGGAGAGGTTCTCCCTCCGTTCGCTTAAAGTGTGCGTAGAGAAAGATTAAACGCGTCGTATATTTGTTGAATAAACGCTACCTTTCATATAGTTTTTGTGAACATATAAGCTAAAGGGAGGAGGTACCTCCTCGTTCACTTAAAATACCCGTAGGAAAAGATATAACACAGCGTATGTTTGCTGAAAAAATAACGCTACATATCATCCATATAGCTTTTGGAAACATATCACTTAAAATGCACGTTGGGAAAGATTAAACACGTCGTATTGTCACCGTATTGTTGTTGAATAAACGGTACATTTCATATTGTTTTCGGGATTATATAAGCTAAAGGGGGGAGGTTCTCCCCCCGTTCGCTTAAAGTGTGCGTAGAGAAAGATTAAATGCATCGTATATTTGTTGAATAAACGCTACCTTTCATATTGTTTTCGTGAAGATATAAGCTAAAGGGGGGAGGTTCTCCTTCCGTTCGCTTAAAGCGTGCGTAGAGAAAGATTAAACGCGTCGTATATTAAAATTTTGTTGAATAAGCGTTACCTTTCATATAGTTTTTGTGAACATATAAGCTAAAGGGGGGAGGTACCTCCCCGTTCACTTAAAATACCCGTAGGGAAAGATTAAACACGTCGTATGTTTGTTGAAAAAAAACGCTACATATTATCTATAGCTTTTGGAAACATATCACTTAAAATGCACGTTGGGAAAGATTAAACACGTCGTATTGTCGCTGTATTGTTGTTGAATAAACGCTACCTTTCATATTGTTTTCGGGAGCATATAAGCTAAAGGGGGGAGGTTCTCCCTCCGTTCGCTTAAAGCGTGCGTAGAGAAAGATTAAACGTGTCGTATGTTTGTTGAATAAATGCTACCTTTCATATAACGTTTGGGAACATATAAGCTAAAGAGGGAAAGTCTGACCACCGGTCACTGAAAGTGTGCGGAGAGGAAGATTAAACACGTCATATGATTGTTGGTAAGCCATAAAAAACACAACGCGAAAATTTTTTTTGGATTTGCGTGCACCGAGGTCTGCTACAATTCACGTCAGGCGTTGAAAGGAAACAGAGTTCTAGGCACAGGCTCTCGATGATTTATGCGGCGTCTTTTTCGTCTTGCTTTAAATTGTGCGTAGAAAAAAATTAAAAATATACCTGATTGATTTACTCATGTTTCAAATTTGACTTAAGTTTTGAAATAGAAATACGAAACATTTCCTATACCTTTCTGGGACATATAAGTTTAACATGTTTGTCGGAATTGAATATTTCAGTATCTGTAAACCGTGCGTAAAGAAACATGCCGTAATACGTTACATTTACAACTGCGAAAATCCTTCGTAAAGATTGGATTTCTTTTTCAGTACACTTTAATCGATCTTAAAGTCTGCTTAATTATTTCCCTGTCTTTAAAGTCTCAATACGGATGTCGTAAATTTTGCTTAAATATCTGTTTTCGTGCTGTGCTGTTTTGTGTTGAGTTAAAAAGGTGGGGTTATACTACCAGCCTTGCGAGTTTCCCCAAAGAGTATAAATAGAATAGAAATGTTTCTCCACAGTACATATATCTATCCTTTCATGACATAAGCTCTGCTACATTCTCATAAAACGTCAGAGAATGATCAGATATCACAGCTGAACATGGAATCACGCAAGATTACGAAATAAAACGAAATGTTGCGTTTTCCCTTCATGTATGGCAAATCATATTAAAAACATAAAAAAAGTCTGTTCCTTTTATCTTTTTTTTCCGCAGGCTGAAACGTCACCACACCTTGTGTCCAGGTGCCTAGAGCATTAACCATAAATACCACTCGTGTTTTATCTTAACCTGTTCATTGTACCTAGCATGTGGCTAATTCTTCTCTGTCAACAAAAAGGGAACAGTTGCACAGGTCATGCGTACAACGTGTTATCACCGGGTGTATATTTCTTGTCGACAACCGTCGTATAAAGTCGTAATCTAGTAAAGTTTGCGTGCATAGCGTTAGCAAATGCATCTGAGACATATGTTGATATATTGCCACCTTTTCTAAAGGTCATATTCTATGAAGCTATGCCAGAACCGACGGTCGACAACAGTCAACGTTTGGCGTCGCGTCGGGGTCCCAAGAGAGCTGGGTTTTATACGACAAATCCACGACTGTATCAAGACTGTCAGCAGTTCGCAAACCTGTCGTATGACGAAGGTAATGTGTGAACCACACGCAACAGAAATCAGCGATATTCAATGAGACGTCATCAGAAGATAGAGAAAAAAAACAACATCGTGAACCGAGATCCGGCCGACGAAAAACCCACACAGACCACAACTTGTTTGTACTGCCTCACTTGGACATACTTGGAGCGTGGTTTCGCGAAGGCCGGGCAACTGTCAACAAGCAAAGACAGAAGAGAAAATAAAAACGCAGGGAAGGTTATTTGAACTGGTTTCTGGAAGCTTCCCCTGTGTTCTTGGCACTGATATTTAGCCAGAAGTCACATACGCCGTACGTGTACGATTGTTTTGTCCCTTAAGAAAAAGAATTTCAGCGGATCTATGGCAGAACCTATCGTCGATAGAGTCTAAACAGCCGTTTCTGCTACAAAAGAGCTGAAGTGAGCACAACACATTCAATTCAGTGTCCTAAATGTCCTCCGTCTATCATCGTAAACTTGTCGTACGGCGTATGCGACGGCTTTCTTCAACATCTTCGATTGTCAGACTGCTAGAAATGACGGAACACAAACCTACCGGTATTCTAGAGTACGCAGGAATCCACAGGTAGGATCCGGTAGTGTCCATGTCCATGCCCATTCCGTCTCTTCGCCGCCGCGTCCGTCTCCTGAGGTAAATGTCGTCTGTGTCGTCAGGGACTGCCCTGCGGTCCGAACGGAGGCTCGCTCCCCCCGGCGGCGGCTCGCGCACGCCTCCCGCCCCCGCCACGTCCCCGCACGCGCACGGCGTCTCCTCTAACCGCGTCCTCAGCTCCGCAATCTGCGCGAAACACAAGTAAAACCCGCACAGCGCCGCCAGGGCGAGCGACAACACCAGCACGAACAGAATCTTCACCGCCACCGCCAGCGACGATCCGCGGACGTAGTCCCTCTCGGCTCCCGCCATCTTGGCGCCCGGTCTACCTGCCGCAGGGAAGCCCTCTCTCCCAGGGACGGTCGGCAGGAACGTGTGACGACAACAACAAAACCTCAACCTCTCAATCAAACACTCGTTAGAACCTAACCACCCGATACAGATGACTTGATAGACTGCTAACACTCAGTGATAGACTCCGGGCCGCTCTCACAGACCTGGTTAAAGCGTGGTTACGGGAGTACTGACTCGGCTGGGCGCACGGGGGGGCAAAGGGTGCGTTACGTCAGAGAACGGCTCCCGTGTGGACCGGGGAGACCTTGGCTAACCACTTATAACGAGACTCTTACATGTCACCGCGCTCATTATACAGCATGTCACTTGCGCCAAAGGTTAAACTGTACTGCGGCATTTACCTTCGTATGTATTTGTATGAAATTGCAACAGTGCTAGCCCAGCACATCGTGGAGTAAAGAGTCAAAGCTTCGTACAGATTTTCAAAACTTTGCTGTATTTGACAACACTACATTTTACAAAAATAAAACATTTGTCGTTTTTGCAAATGAGAAAAAAGTCACTACAAATGTCGATAATCTGGCGACATACATGTAAGTCTTCAAAAAGCGTGTACTTAAAAATGACATGGTTAGGCACACACGGGACAAAATTGGTAAACTACGTAGAAAAAATACTTCCAGAAACGATATTAGGAAGTGGGAAGGTAAAAGTCATTGGCCATAGGGTATCGGAAGGCTGATAGACTTACTGTTTTCCCAGACTATCAATGCCCAGACTATCACGCAAGGGCGTGCGATGAAAGGATATCCGTAACTATTCCCAGAAGTTCGGAGAAGAACAGAGTGAATGTACGTGTGAATGGTGAACTGTGGACAAAAAGTTTGCGTACGCGTGTTGCATCATGAGAGTATAATTTAGAAAGGCCTAGTGTATGCGTTTATGTTTACTTTTGAAAATTGATGTGAAAGCAAAATGCAAGATGCACGATGTCAGAATGCACAACAGGCAGCATATCATATCACAAATCAAAAATCCATGCGTAGAATAATGCCCAACTTATATTCAAACTTACGTAAGTAGTAGTTAATTTAAAAAAAACGCATACCTCGACCTGAGAAAATCACAGTAACTTTTGGGATATTCTTTTCGGGCAACTTTTCTGTTATCAGTTTTGATTTGAAATAAAATGTGTGCATATATATTTCATCTGGGTAACACAGAGCGAATTCAGGAAACACGTGCACGTTCCACACATGGGGATGTAGCTCAGTGGTAGAGCGCGCGCTTTGCATGTGTGAGGCCCCGGGTTCGATCCCCGGCATCTCCAGTCATGTTTTAATTTTCTTTTCTCCCAAAAGATCACGCAAGAAAGGTATGGGGCGCCTCCTGCCTTAAAGCAAGATAGAACGTCATTGCTTAAAGTCACACATTATATTCGGAACCTTCTCTTGACATTCCATTTTTTACCAATTTTTACCGAAAAATCGAATTTCAAAAGCTCAGAACTTCTCTTAGAAATGACATATCGGAACAAAATTGACATTTTTGTAATTCTTGGTTCCTGTTTTATCTGGCCACTAAGTAACGTTGGAAAATATCCATATTTGATTATTTGACACTCCCCTTTGTATTATAAGTAGGAAAGGAAATGGTCCCCATGGGGTCAAAGTTCAAGGTCAGATAACAAGGTCAAAGCTGGGCACACAACATGGTTATCATACATTTTCAAAAAGCTTGTGGGGAGGACTATCACATGAAGGCATTCGCGTTTTGTCCCTTGATTTGGTAACAAAATCTGGTCCGGCCCATGGACTACCAGCCGATCAAGGTTCGGAAGTAGTTTCGCCAGGCCAGGCCAGGCCTACCTTTATTTTTCTATACGAATCGAAACAAATTTGAGTCATGTTTGACCCAAACACGCACGTCCCGAATAATATAGTGACATACTGGCGAATAGTTGGCTGGTGTTCTCCCGACGTACAGCCGAGCACCAGACAACTATGATCGGGCCTCCAGACCAACCCTCGCATGTCTTAAATATTTTGAAAGATTATATTAATTTGGCTGGTTTTCGGTGAGCACCAGTCGACCTTATTCCCGACCGACTTACTCCTAATAACAATGGGTTAGGGGGGAGTTCGACCTGTGTTCGGGAGGCCATATTAGTGAATATGAATGTGTGACGGGCTTTGAAGAAATAGGCTGTATTCCTGTGGTTAAAACTTGATCATCTGCCAGCTGATTTTCTGCTGTCTAGACATGATTTCACGTTTCCGCCCTGCCTTGATGTGACACGCAGGTATCATTACTACACAGCATAGTACGTGCACGTGCACAAGGGACCTCTACCAGGCTTGAGGAGGCGGCTGGAAAGAGTAGAAATCGGTCAAATAGAGAGATAACATGCCAGGGGAGTTGGTCCGCTAGAGAATACATTTGCCGCACCCGAATGTACTCTCTAGTGGACCTCGGCATGTTATCTCTCTATTTGACCGATTTCTACTCTTTCCAGCCGTCGTCCGAAGCCTGGTAGAGGCTAAAAAGGGACGGCTAATACAAAACGTTGAAATTTGAAGTAATTTAGTAGAATAGGTAACATGCAATGCTTAATAGGTACACACCCGTGTCGTCTGCAGACCCTGAAGCAGAGTTCAGTTGAACTTGAACTATAAGGACACCTTGTGTGTTATCTGCGTGACGTCACGGAAGCGGTGGATTGCTCATTCCTTGACAAAGACTGGAGTTGTACAGTCGAAAATTTGGGCGAGTCCAGTTACAGTTAAATCTGGCTCATAATGACTTCAAGAAATATTATAAGGAAGCCTGTGTGGAGCCTGTTTCCTCTTAAGCCAGGTTTAGTCTCAGAAATGTCGGCAAACTGGCTTATGCCTCCACAGCCAACATAATCAACTTTGCTACACTATCTTTTTTAAATGTACGATCATTACGAATCTGAATATTGAAGTAAAGGAAAATGTTTTGCTATGATGTATGATAAAAGCTGATGAAGTGGCAAAGATATTGTCATTAAAATATCCAATATTTCTGGCGAGCGTATATATATATATATATTCTTGTTTTTATGAAAGTTTGTGCCAAAGTGTATCTGGTCAAATCCAATGTTTAACTTTTTTTTGTCATTTGTTAGGAATGTCAAAGGACTCGTCTCCCCCCAGCCTACCACACCTCCCACGCACTACGTCATGTCTGACGTAACGCCAAGATAGACCCCCTGCAGTGTCGAGAGGAAACACCCTGACTCTGACTGTCAATCTATCTGTAGTCTCCACCAGGCTCCTTTGCAGGCTGAATAAGTACATGTGTAGTAGAAATCGGCCTAGAAAAAAGGACTGCAACTGGCCAAGGGAGTTAGTCGGCCATAGAGGGCCAAGTTTGAGGTTACAATTTCTACAATTTATGGTTACCCTTACTGAACAAAAATGAGATATTTAGTTTCCTAAATCATCTGATTTGACATTAATTTTGTCAATTTTTGGGTGACATTGGAATCCAAATTGTTTCGGGCAAGAAACCTAAAAATTACCAAATTACCAAAAATCCACATCCCAAGCTGCTCCCAATCACGTCAACAAATTCCCTGTGCGGCGTGTCATATTGTGTCATTATATTTTACCAAGGAGCTTTTATATGATGAAATCTCTTTGATTTCGGGCAAAGAGATTTGAGATGTTTTTTTAACCTATTGTCCCGATGATTCTTCAAAAACGTTGGCAGCATGGCGTTCAGACCTTGGCAGATATGAACAATAGGTCCTTTAACACGTACACATGTTACATTAAACAAAGGCACCGCGCCTGCGGCCAATAAGAACCCTGCAGTGAAATACAAAGAGGTGCAACAAAAGTGCAAGAATGCGGTTTTGTAACTCTGTCACCTGACCGACAATAATGAAGACATAATTTACCCTAACGACGTGGCCGAACATCAAAAGTCGGTGACCTTAAGGTCGAGAAAATGCATCATTGCCAAATGGCCTGTCTGGTCCCTTTGTGTCCGGGTTTGGCAGGTCGGTATCTTTCTGTACAATCTCAGAGTCAGCACGTGTGGGGGGAATGAGTAGACACTATACTCAACAACGAAATACGCTTTTGGCAACTTGAAAACACTGATTGGCTTTAAATTTATTACTGACTTGGATGATCTTTTAGATGATATTCTGGTACATATTCAGGGCACGCATGTAAAGCAGTATATTGTACTGAGTGCGCCTACCCTGTATAAAGAAAACAGAAATAAATAGATAAAAATAAATAAATAAATACATTTACTTTTAAGATGTTCTTCTTTTCTGTCAACAATATACAATACTCAAATACTGCTGCATGTGCAGACTTTTTTGTTGGAATCAAATCAATTCTGTCGGTGTTTATGTAGTTGTTTCACTTGTTCATTGATTAATTATTATATTCAACTTCTTTATGAAAACTCGTGCTTTGTTTGTATTGCGTATTGTCTGGTGGCGACATGAATATAAGTGTAGCTTGAGTGTGTCGCCACCACACGTCTTGTCACTATGTGTTTAAATTTAAAAAAAAAAAAAAGAGTAGACAATATGCCGTCGCACAGTCGCTCGTCGTAGCACTAGGTACAACAGGTACAGCATAATATACATCCCTGTACATTAACAGGGATTCAGACTGAAGTTCAAGTTTTTGGAGCACTGTGCTCCCAACCCTTTGAAATTGGGCAAACTATAAAAAAATCGAGAATGTGTCAAGCGGCTCAAGCCCCTATATATCGGCGAGTGTTGCCTCACTGAACACTCACGCCACCCCACCGTACCTAGCCTCCTTCGTAGACTTGTAAGGTAAACCTTCTCTCCTCGACTAAACTCCCACGGCGGCAGAATCGTCCATTTGCGGAATAACTCGCGTCGCTCACCGAAAAATAACGCCGCCACCCCACAAGCCTGCAAAGGAGGCTAACCACCCCCAACCCCCGAAACCATGCGAGCAACTTCAGCCAACCTTGGTTGGTTGGAGGTCGGGGGAAGGTTCTGAATGTGTGACAGGGGCTTCACGTGCAAAATCAAGCAGTTTTATGACGGTGAAGGTTGGTGTAGATCGGTTATAAGTACGTCGTATACGTAGCCTGAAATTTCTACGACAAGACGAGAATCGTACAGTAAATGTAACTGAACCTTAAGATGTCACCTTTTCATTTATATTAAAGGAACCAGCACTGGTTCATAAATTTCAAAACGTCGATCAAGT